ATATATATGTAAAAGATATGGTGTGAAGCCTAGTGTAGATAAGCTAAATGTGCCAATGGTCCAGATTGAATCTAGGCCGATCTGACGATCATGGGTGCCCAGTAGTGTTTGAATTTTAAGTTCTTTTCTACAATTCCAAATCACTTGAAATTTTAGGCATATGTTCTTTAAAAATAGAAGAATCAATGAAAAATATTAAAAAAAGATTTTATATAAAAAAATTGATCAAAATACCCCCAAAACTTTGTGGGGGTATTTTGGTTAATTATTTTCATGTAAAAGATTTTTATAATATTTTTCGTAGATTTACCTATTTTTGAAGAACATACAACTAAAATTTCAAGTGATTTCAATTTTTTTAAAAAAAAAATTAAAATTCAAACACAACTAGACACTATCGAGCACCCATGATCGCCAAATCGACCCATATTCAATCTGGGTCGTTGGCGTATATACCTTATCTACACTAGGCTGCGCATCATATCTTTTTTCATATATATATATATATATTGTTTTCTTTAAGCTTATGTAAAGTTTTTTTTCCCCATATCTCCACCCTATAAACCTCGATCTTTTATTTTTAGTTAATGTCATTTATTTTGTAATATTTTTTTGGAGACTTGATCTAGATTGCCGATCCAATAATTCTACACCGTTCTATGGTTGAATGATGATCTACCCCACCGATCTGAGTTCTAAAACACTCGTAATTAGATACCATGGATGTTGGTACTTTAATAACAACCGTTATATTTCGTTTGAAGAGTTAACGATTCTTGTCTATAATGCTAACGGTTGTTAAATGTCAATAATGGCCATTATACATTGAACTGACCTTTTTCTAAAACAGGATATATTGAACGATGCTTGTTATATGTAAATAACGGCCACTATACATTGCACTGACCTTTTTTGGAAACAGGATATATTGAACTTACGTTTTCTCACCCCTTCCTTTTGACCTTTATGTAGTGCCACACATAAGAGCCACCACGTTTACTAAGGCCGTTACTTCTTTTGTCCCAACTACTTTTTTAAACCATGTAGATACATAAAGAAGAGAGAAAGAGATTGCATTTTTATATGAATGGGAAACTTTTATAAATATTCCTTATAATTCTTGGAAACCAAAATTAAGCAAAATATACAACGAGACCATTTACTTTTTGATATTAGGTAGTCACTATTAATCTTGACTATTAAATGTGAAATTGATCGGCTACATGTACTCCATTGATCAAACTCAAAGTTTAAAACAAAATTCTCAAACTTTGTTGTACACCAAAGATATTAGACGTCACACCCAAGCTATTAGCTCTCAAGATACCCCTGATTGAAGTATTGAACGGGGTCACTTGTTTCGTTCTTGAGTGAAACGCTCAGAAACTGAATTCAAGCCCCAAATTAGGTCATTTTGCCTTTTTAGGAAGGGTGAGGTTTGTATAAGGTGTCAACCTTATACTATTAAAGTAAGGTGCATCTCAAAACTATGTCAAAAATTCAGTTTCAATGCCGCAAAGGCTTGTGATGATATGAAAATATATTGTTGCCCCAAATATTTTATAAACAGTAGTGATCAAGTAGATCTATACACACTTGGAAATATTGAAAATGGACAGTCTAGATAATATGTAAGAAGATGAAGTATTTTTAGGACTAAAAACCCTTTATATATATATATATATATATGAATCTCAACGTCAAGATGATTGATTTAAGTCTTCTAGCATGAAAACAACTTTCTCTCGTGGGTTTTTTAGATACACCCTACCCGTATTGTACAAGGTTGACACCTTATATAACTTTTTCTTTTTATAAGTTGAGCTTGAGTAGTTACACATTTAGCAACACCATATCTCAAGTTTCATTCCTACAAAGGAAATAAAAAAAATTCAAATTCTGGATCGAATCACTTTTTTTTTTTATTGCTCATTATATTGGTCTATAGTTCTATACCCTTCCTCTTCAAAAAAATATATTGTTCTATACCCTTATATTGAAATTAAAGAAACAGGGGAGGAGAGAGAAAGAGAAAGAGATCATAGCACAAGTAACTAACCTCATAGAGGGAGAGGCCATTGCCAAATATAAAATCAACAGAGCCTTCAATGTAGCAGTCTTTGTAGTAATGCCTACCAACATGATCATAGAGTGTGTCTTGAGCCCCCAAGAATTTACACCCCAAAAAGGCAGCTGTATCTGCTGATATCCTGAATGCAACTGCCTGTTTGCCTGAAGCTCCTGGTTTTGGAACAGGGGTTGTATTCTAGAGAGAGAAAGAGAGAGAGAGAGAGAGAGAGAGAGAGAGAATGTGAGCTATATAAATTGAGTTTTTCTCAAGGACCACATAATATAAATTGAATTGTTTTCTATTAAAATCCAATAGTGAGTTTGAAAAGAGAAGGTGTTGGTTTCATCCCTTGTTGCTTTTCATTTTATGGCGTATAGAGAGAGAGTGTGCACCTTGAAAGTTATGTTTTTGGCAATGAAATAAGGTGAATTGACTGCAAATGTTGCAGAGTTGAAAGTTCCAATTGGCTGACCAGTTGGGCCCACTGTTTGGGCAGTATCTCCCCATTGCACTTCTGTTCTGTCGGCCCCTGCTCCTTCTATGGTTATAAATGCCTTCATTGCAGGGATTATCACCTTCTCCCTGCTTTCAATTTTCACCATAATGCAATCCATCAGTTAGAGAGAGAGAGAGAGGCTTTTTGTCTTCAATATTATAGTATTTCACAGGAATAGAGTGAGCCCAGCTATTTTTAATTTTTTTACAACCTAAATTTGTTTCTAAAATACGAAATGCTATGTTTATAGGTAGAAATTACAAAAAAGGTACATAAACCTACATTTTTTAACAAAATTGTCTCTCAATTTGAAGATTAAATCCTCATCTAAATTAAAAAAAAAAAATTATCGTTTTCGTTAGTGGGGCAGTGCCCCAAGCTTCAGGGCAGTGCCTCACTCATGAAAAAAAAAAAAATTTGGTTTGTGCATATCCTCAAACTGAGGAGTAATTTTGAAAAAAAAAAAAACAGATTGACCAATCTCCTTTATAATTTTCACCTATATATATAACATTTTAATATTTTTTTAAAAATGTAGGGTCCCTACATACTTAAGTCACTCAAAAAAAAAAAGAAGAGAAAGTATATAATGAGGCCATTTACTTTTTAATATATGGTTGTCACAATTAATTTTAACCATTGGATGTGAAATTGGATGACCGCATTTATTTAATCGACCGAGCTCAAAGTTCAAAAGAATTTTTTTCAAACTTTATAACGTACCCAAGCCATAAAATATCACATCGGATTATTGTAAATAATTGTAACCTCTCGTACTAAAAGTAAGTAGTCTCATTGTATACAATCTACAAGAAAAAAAGTACAAGAGAGAGAGGGAGAGAGAGAGTAATTTCTTTCTTAAAATTTCACTACTAGGGTGAAACCAAGCAACTTTTGTCGTAAAGAAAGTTCGACAGTTGACAGTTGATTCGCAAGAGAGAGAGTACTCAGTAATACAATCATGTCTAATAAAACCCAGTTTCAATAATTGAATCCGTTTCTTATAAAGGAGCATGATACGGTTACACAATGTGAGTGAGTGAGAGAGAGAGAGAGAGAGAGAGAGATTCATTAAATCCATAATTCTTGAAAAAGACAGTCACACACACAACCCTAGTGAGAGAAAGTGCACAAGACGAGAGAAAGTGCACAAGACACAGTACAGTAAAGTGTGAATAACCACACAATCAATAAAATTACGATAAAACACACACACACACCCAAGCACAATCAAAGAAATTCCCCCAAATTCAATTACAGCACAGTTTCAAAAATCGCCTGAACCTAACTCTTAAAAAAAAAAAAACAAAAAACAAAAAATGAGTGTGTGTGTGAGATAGAGAGCGATGAAAATTTCACCAAAGCCAGTGAAACCCAAACCCAAATTTCTGAACATTCATTGAAACCAACTCGTTTAACTTTTAAAACAATGAGAATGTGTATGTGTGTGTGTATTAGAGAGAGAGACTCACGTGTAGGTTCCAGGATTGACCTTGATCACAACCCTCACCAAATTGATGAAAGGAAGTGAATCAATTGCAGATTGAATGGTTGTGAAATCTCCTTTTGCAGGATTCTTATCAACAGTGAGATAGAAAGAAGGGAAGATCTTATTAATGGCCGCCCCGAAAAGGGAATGCTTAAGGCTCCCAACCCATTCAACCCACATCATGAACTGGTCTTCTATCAACTGATTCTTTGTACCATTTTCAGGGAAATTGATCAAAATTTTAGGTGGTTGCAGTTTTCTCAGGCTCTTTGCTTGCCCCTGCTCTAACCCAAAACACAGAAGAAGAATTAGAATCAAAATTCTCATCAAATTCTCCATGAAAAGGGGCAAATTTGAGCTTGGAAAGCAGGGTGTGAAGAGAGAGAGAGCTCTTTTTCTCTCAGTTTTGGAAGTGGGTGGTGGAATTGGGGCTGGGTTCCATTTATAAGGTGAGTTATGTGGATTTCCATTACTGTAAGTAGAAGAGTATTAATAGACAGAGAAAGTGTGGTGTTTTGTTTGTAGAGAGAGAAGAGAGATTATTAACGTTTGTTTTGTTTTTGGCAAGCAGGCCAAGAACCTATGTGGGCTGATTCACGGGTTCTTTTTCTGATTGGAAAGTGGATCACAGGTACCAATCTACATGACAGCTTTTTCTCTTGCTCGTGAACTCTCTCTCTCTCTCTCTCTAGGGGTACCCTTGTCTGCATCATAAAATATCTGACTTTTCTCTTTTTTTGTTAATTTTAACAAATTAAAATTTCGGTGTGGTTCATGTAAGTCTAATTTTTAAGCAATCAAAGTAACATGCAGTTTTAAAACCCTT